AAATAAGTCCCCAAACCAAGCATCTTTATTATTCTAGGTTTAGCGGCTATATCTCTTTCACCAATAAGCTCATTCATTTAATATTTATTATAAATAAAGGAAACATTATGTATATACCAATATTACCCTCAACCATTTATACCAAATTTTTAATATGCTCAAATTTCATCATTAACTTAATTTAACCTCAATTTGACCCCAAATTTCACAAATTATTCAATTTTGACCCCAATTTTTTTTTTCCCGTCGAATTTCAGCGTTGACTTTTTGAATTTTTTTTTTCTTTTCTTCCAGATTTTTTCGCCGGTTTCCGGCGGTCTCCGGCGTTGATTTTTTTTAGTGTTTTTATTAAGTTTTTTTTTTCTTTTTTTTTTTTACGTCCGTCGCTGAACGTTGACCGTAATTGTACTGTCACTGACAATAAATTAACGTAATTATACTATCAATGATAGTTAATTAACGTAATCGTACTGCCGTTGGGGTCAAATTGAGGTTAAATTAAATTAATGATGAAATTGGAGCATATTAAAGTATGAGGGGCTATTTTCGTTTTTAACAAAAATCTGGACCATGTGTGGACTTATTGATAAATGAATTTTTTGTCTGAATCTCTTTATAAATAAGTAACCATTGATAGGCTTATTTGTAATATGCCCTTAAAATAATGTTAGAGGGGATTCTCACTAGTGTATATAAAAATAGTTGGATATTTTTTTAACAATAAATAAACCAAAGAATATCGATATTACAAGACCAAAGCTTCAAAGATACTTTATAAAAACAAAGAAATACAAGACCGAAGCTTCAAAAAATGCTTTGTAGATAATAATAAATAAACAAATACACGAACATTAAACATAGACTTTCAATATTATAATCTTTGATGACATACATTATTATGAAATCCACAATAAAGACTTGACCTTATTACATCCACTATATTATCACAGATCGCACTCAAAGCACGTTACACTAAAATAAAAATAAAATAAAATAAATAAATAAAATGCACCCATCTTCATAACCACTCTTTCGACCACACAATTATTGAATAAAACGAAAAATACATCCAAACAAGACAGCCAATGGGAATCCAAATAATATAACTTATCTTTTCATTCCTCCTTCAACAAATGGTGCCATTGTCACTCCTTGATTATGTTTATCAACATTTCCAAACCATCCTAATAAAATAAAAATAAAAATTGATGAGTTAGATCACATTAATGTAACATTAAAATAAAGAGATTAAATTCTAAGCGGATCAGCCGATATTTAATATAAATAGGATTCCACTAATTTTTTGACGTGTGGCACTCTTAGATCTAAACTCTTAATAGATTACGCTATTATAATTAGGGTTAGAGGGGTTACGTGTTAGCTGGGTTTTCCTTTTCCTTTTTTTTTCCACTTATTATAAATTATCCATGTGTCAATCATCCTATGACATCCGATTTTCCTATTAAAACAGATCATCCTATCTAAATTTGCACCCTAAAGTAAAATAATAGCCAATAAATTGAAGCAGGATTGATTACCAAGATTCATGTCAAAGCCACGATGTTGGAGCTCACGATACTCTTGGCACAAAGCGCAGGACTCGCAACAAAGGTGCAGAAGAAAATCAGGACAAGGATCCTCCGCTAGCATGTATTGGCTTCTCATTTTCGAACGGTAGGTGCAAGAGTATATGCACGCACATCCCGTGAAGTACGATATCAGCGCATATAATGCCCCACTCGCTCCGCAAGCTGCACATTAATCAACTATTTCAGTATGTGTGGAAATCGGACTGGATATTAACAGTTTTGCAAAAGTTTCACTTCTCTTTTAGAATCTAAGAACTAATATTCTAATTCCGTTTCATAATAAAATGAAAATCTAAATTTCAAAACTTGGAATGAAATAATTTTGAGTATTTAAAATAAATATACGAGTTTATTGCATTTGTCACCCCTATGTTATTTATTCTAATAGTTATAAAAACTCTTAAGGTTATTTTCATTATTAAAAACCCATTCAATATTTCTAATATTAATAACACGAGGAGTTTTTTCAGAAATTCAAAGCAACGCTGGATTTCTTTATTTTTTTTATTTTTACAATTCACTTTAAATGTAGATCGAACTCAAGAAATAATCAATAAATAAACATCTTTTGTGTTCGCCACCTTTTTCCTTGCTCTAATTGTAAAGAAACTAAATCCTTAGTATTTTTATTAGCATATGCTCATATATGAAAAGTCAAGTGGAGGAGTTAGATTTTTTTTTTTAGGAGACAAGTGAAGTTAAATACTACACACCTTTTTATTTACACCCATCAATTTGAACCATAAATTTAAGTAAATAACTATTCATTAAGTACACATATACATGGGCGACTGTGATTTTATGCAGATCTATGTTCAAATCGGCCCACTATAAATAAGTAGCATCTAATTTGTCAAAGACAAACAAACTCCTTGAAACTCGCGCGTTTCATATGTAGTAAAGTAAAATAACTAAAATCAAATATATAATAATGAATAAATTATATACTTACAGGTGGATCCTCTATCAACAATCTCAGCAATCTGTCCAAATGTAATGCAGGGACACCAACATGTTATGCAACCTGCGATCATCAATATATACATATATATGCAATTAAAATCAATAATTAATATTGGAAATTATATATAAATATAAAATAATTATATTTGGAGGGTGAAAAAGTGAACATATATGCATACAGTTAGAAACATCAGAAAAGCAGTCGCAAAGGCCAGTGGACCAAGGCCCAGGGAGGTTGCCATGTACTTGCATCGATGGATGCATAGGTACGCCAGTTGGCGGCGGTGGTGGTGGTGGTTGGCCGTAGGCTGAAGACGGTGGTTGCCCATATTCTGGTGGCGGTGCTCCACCATGGGTTGGTGGTGCCGTCGGTTCTGATGGTTTCTTCACTGAAACCATTATTGATTCAACACAGAAAAGATATCTAATTAATAATGGGAACTGAAAATATAAGCTAGTATTTAGTTAATTAGTTTGATATAGGTAATGCATATAGTGCGCAGATGGTTGTAGTGTTTATATATACAATTTTCAAGGTGGCCAAAATTTTACCATACCGTGTGTAGTATATGTGTTGAAAGTCGTTGGTGGTTTGAATGTGTGTTAAAATATACGCGTTAAATATTCCATCCATGTACTATCGCTACTGTCGTAAATACTTCAATGTACTGTAAAATGCGATAATATGGTCCATGTCGTCAAGCCATGTTAAAGAATCCGTCCTTTTTCAAAGTTGACCGACCATTGCACTAGATGTTGGATAATTTGAACGAAAATACCTCTCTGATTGTTTATAAAATGTGTGCCTCTTTCTTTCTTTCTTGTACCCAATTTACTCCCAATTTTTTTTTTTATTTTTCACGTTTCTTCCCTAATTTTATTTTCCACAATCTAAAAATTGCACCCAAATTATCTGGAAAAAAAATTATATTCTGAAAAATTATTTATAATTTTCTTCTAAAATTATGAAAATTTGCAATTTTGTTCCTAGCCTAAAAATTTCATCTAAAATTGATGAATTTCTTTTATTATATTCTACATAATATTTTTTTAATTCCTTTTATAGTTTCATTTACAACCCAAAAATTATCGATTTAAAATGCTTCCTGTAATACTAATTCTCAAAATTCATGCATTTTATTTTTTATGTCCAAACTCCAAACATTATATGATATATTTTTCTAGAACCACTTGTCGATGCAACCGGAATGCTACGTAATAAAATAAAATAAAAATTGTTCAATTAATAAAGTCAAAAAATGTCTATTTATATCGTATAAATGTAAGAGTGAAAATGTAAATACGCTATATAGACTAACGGTGTAGATATATAAGGGTTGACCATTAAGATGATGGGACAAAGATTTTGTAGTACATGATATATGTCATAGTGGTGACACTACCATAGGGGCAATTTGTTTAACCCAAAATATACAGATAGATAACTACAATACAACTAATTAAACTAATTAAATGTGTATTGAATTAAGATACAGTCAAATCAAGATCACAAATTGAACCGGTCATATATATATATATATATATATATATATATATATATATATATATATATATATATATATACTTGTAGACTTGTAGTAGAGAATACTTTTTGCTTCTTGATGTTGATTTTAATTTGGATATGATACAACAGTTGAAACCATCTTTGTGGTTGAAATTTGGTTCTAACTTCCAAGTAATATTAATTATTAGATTATGCATCTTTTGTTTTGGTATGAGAACAAGTTGCATCCATTTTTTTTTAATATTTAAATGTACCTTAGAGGACTAACTAAAATGCAAACACGAAAGAGAGATATATAAAATTCTATAGCAAGACTACTGACAAATTTTATATTAAACAATTAAGAATGAGTTGAAGATTAGGAAGATTCCAAGATAATGGTGGAGTCATGAATTGGAGCTGCTGCTCTCATGTATATCTTCCCAGTATTTTCGGGCAGGCCTGTACAGTTAAACTTTTATAAATTAATACAGTTGAGACTAGATTTGTATTAATTTAACGAGATATTAAATTATTAAACTAATACTTTAGTTGGTTTTTACCGAGTTGGGACCAGAAGAAATTATTATTTAAGCAGAGTTATTAATTTATTGAGGTTCTACTGTATATTCATTAATTAATGGCGTGATCTGAAAGATATTGGAACGTAATCACCATTTGAACTCAATAATTGATATGTTTAATGTTATAAATTGGTTTCACAAGATTCGAGGCCGAACCGAGTGCTGCCCTGCGTCTGGCGCCTGTCGGCTGCTGCCCCTTTTTT